TGTGGCTTTACATTAGCTCAGTGGCGTAGCGAGGTCGAGTGTCACCCGGTGCGGCACTTAATGGTGTCACCCCCCAGAGAGGACAAATTTTCGATTTGTCCCATTTTACCTGCTAGTCAATACTTGTCTTGGAATCTTGTCGAATATTGTTGACAGGAGCTACTTGGTTTGAGCCTTGTTGTCAGAAGTTATTTCATTTGGAGTCAATATAGTGCGGCCTATTTTCGTCGGTAGGCATTTAGTGGCAGGCCCTTTTTGGCGGGGATGATGTGCTGAGGTTGTTTAACACCGCTTAGTACAACAGGCATGCAATAGTTATGAACAAATGTATGCATGAAAACGAACGCTTTATGTTCCTCATTTTCACTGAGCACAGCTTTATAGAAGATTCCAAAATAGACGTCACGCATCCCCCCCGACCACCCTGCGTAAGTTGACGTCACATTAGCATAGCATATGTGACATAGTTTATGGGCAACCCCATATAACTCATTTTGGGTATTTGGTATCAACATTTTGACAACAAAGGTTATTCAAAATGTATATAGGACTTGACATCTACCCTAAATGACATCGCACACTTAAGGGGTGGAGTAACTGGTTTTGAGACGACGTTTTACGCGGGAAGTGGGAGGGGTAAGAAACGTGAAACGTTATGTATTTCGCCTAATACAAAAATGCTAAAAATATTTTTCATTAGAATTATGGCTTGACTTTTCAATAGACATGGCAAAAAGGTAATTTTCGACATTACGACTATTTCGTGACGGCAAAAATGGGGGTGGGGGGGGGGGGTTAAGGTGAAGAGAGGTCAAAAACGGGACGTCATTTGTGATTAAATCACTAATTAAAGAAAATAAACCGGGAGTGATCTCCCCTAAACTTTCTCGAATATTCTTATATAAAATAACAGGGGATGGGAACTCGGGCTATAGACTTCTAGACATGATTTTTAATCCATTTTAAATACTTAAAGTTTTAAAAATAGAATAAAATCTCGTAGACAAATTAATTGCACACCAAGTGAACGCGAATAAAAAAGCGCATAATAGTGCGCAATATTATTAGTACTTTAAAAATTTACATTAGTTTTTTGAGAAATCGGAAGTAGCGTAAATTACTACTTCCGGTCAACGGAAATTACTCAAAATTTAACAGAAGGTAGAGAATTAGATCTTTTACTTACATGTGAAATTTAATTTATCTATCTGAAATAGTACTCAAGTTATAGGCTTTTGAAAAATTCAAAGTAGAAAAAGTACCACTTCCGGTTGTCGGAAATCGCTCAAAAGTTGATACGGATCTACGATTTTGATAAAATACTTATATATGAAATTTCATCAACCTAGCTGTAACGGTACTCAAGTTATCGTGTTTACACACGGACACACACACACACAGACACACACACACAGACACACAGACATACGGACAAGATTGCAAAATTATGTTTTTCCGTATCAGTGAGATGCAAAACGTCGAGATTTGCAAAAATCTCGATTTTTTTTTTTTGCACGATTACAAGACTTTCTCTATACTTCGTATATACGAGAAAGTAAAAAAGCATGAAAATATTAAATGAAAATAGGAAACAAACAATAACACAAACAATAAGAATGAACTCAAACTAATATTTAAATAAACATTAGATATGTAGTGGTAGCTCTATAAAAATAGGGAGTATCTTAATGTATAAAAATTGCATCTCATAATAATAATTATAGAACTGATGTTTATTGTCAGTCAATTAAATTGTTTAAAGGGCAGAATTAAAAAAAAAAAACGCATGCTTTGTATTTAAACACAAGACTAACCTATTTAACAGCAAACATCAATACATTTCCATACAAATAGAAATTAAAGGGAAATGACTCAAAATAATATTTTCTTAAGATGGCCGCTGTTTTTAATAGCAAATTTAGTATCTGTAACATCGTTGTTAAACTTTAATTTCCTGACATTTTTATTGATTTAAACCTTAATGTGGTTTATTATTCAATTATCTTTAGTATTTTAGTAAAATATGCAAAAATATATCCATATTTAAGCCATATTTATTAGTTACCTTATCCCTACATTACTAGTGACGGCCGAATTGATTACGCTAAAGCGATAGATTACCTTTTTTTTTGCACGATTACAAGACTTTCTCTATACTTCGTATATACGAGAAAGTTAAAATGATGATCCCTTTCCTTAATCATCGGAATTGACTGCTTAATTAAAAAAATATAACAACTGGAATTTTGTGTATGATGATTGAAGTATAAATAGCTTGTGGTTTGTTCTCCACTTAACGAAGGCTGTGGAAACGAATACAGAAAGGAAAATCTTGATGAAGTCGGAGTCTATGGGCCATATGGCATGTAACATTTTGCCGCATTTTACTGAGTTTTTTTGGGGGTGATCCACTTTATAACTATAATAAGGAACGAAGAAGAAAAATATGAAGACTTATTTATCACGCTTTAAATCTGAAGGTTTTATCTTGTGGGTGTTGAATTCGGTATTTTTTCTAAGTTATGAACATTTATTTTTTATTATATATTCTGTTTTTAACTGTTTCATTATTATTACCTCGCACAGCAATAACTTTAAAAAAAAAGTATAGGCTCCTAACAAAAACAGGCATATAATTTCTTCAGCATTATAAAATAAGACACACCGAATAACAAAAATAACTAGCACAAAAAAAAATTTTTTTAATAATAATAATTAATAAAAAATACAATTTAAAAAACAAGAAAAATTCAATAATTTTTTTTTTCATAATTGTGTTTATTTTTAAACTTGTCTCCTTGTTTTCTAAAACGTAAGGAAAGAAATAAATAAAGAAAGAAAGAAAGAAAGAAAGAAAGAAAGAAAGAAAGCAAGAAAGAAAGAAAGAAAGAAAGAAAGAAAGAAAGAAAGAAAGAAAGAAAGAAAGAAAGAAAGCAAGAAAGAAAGAAAGAAAGAAAGAAAGAAAGAAAGAAAGAAAGAAAGAAAGAAAGAAGGAAGGAAGGAAGAAAGAAAGAAAGAAAGAAAGAAATGAATGAATGGCAAGCAATATGTGTATAATATTGCGGAATATTATTAGCACTTTATAAATTCATTTTCGTTTTTTTTTGAGAAATCAGAAATAGCGTAAATTACTGCTTCCGATTACTCAAAATTTGATAGCAGGCAGAAATTAGATATTTTACTTATGTGTGAAATTTCGTTTATCTATCTGAAACAGTACTCAAGTTATAGGCTTTTGAAAAATATAAGTCGAATAAGTCCCATTTCCGTTTATCGGAAATCGCTGAAAGGTTGATACAGAACTACAAATTTGATAAAATATTTACACAGGAAATTTCATCAACCTAGCTGTAACAGTACTCAAGTTATCACGGTTCTAGACATACATAAATCCACACACACACATACACACACAGATATACAGACAGAATTGCAAAGCCCAGTTTTTTCCGACTCGATTACGCATAAAACGCCGAAACTTTGATAAATCTGCATTTATAATTTTTGCCCGATTAAAATTAGTCCCTTTATCCGTATATGATTACGTACTGAGGTATAAAACGGTGAAAACTGTCATAATTTTATGTGATTTTTGTGCACGATTACAAATATTTCCCCTGTACTCTGTATACGAGAAAGTAAAAAAACTTGTTTAGTTTTAAAGATTAGTTTTTGTTGAATTACCAATTTATAAATTACATGTAGGCTCCTCGACCTATGGAGTCATAGGGCTGTCTTTCAAATCCTGACCCTCTTCTGTAGACCATCTTGGTATATCAGTGGCACACTAAGGATAATGGTGTCCTGTTCATCAAATTGCAGTCTTGATACTGTAGACTGCTAGTCACTTCTGCGATACACTGGCTCATGCCTCCCCTTAGCAGAGGCGTAGCAAGGGGGGGGGGGGAGGGTCCGGGGGTGCGGACCGAACCTGGTGACACCATTTAGGGGGGTGACACCAAGACAAAAAATAGCAAAATATATAGAGAAAAATGATAATTCCACTTAATTAAGTGATTAATTCGAGTGTTAAATAGTCTTTTGAGAGGTGAAAACTGAAAATTGAAAGTTTGTCCCCGGGAAGGGTCGCTACGCCTCGGAGGGGTGACACCATTAAGTGCCGCACCGGGTGACACCCGACCTCGCTACGCCACTGCCCCTTAGTATAATATCTAAGCCAGCATCTTTAAACAGCTGAGTAGCACAAATATTTAATTTAATACGCAATGATTTACTGAATAATTTAATGAGTACGTGATTTAATAAATATCAAAGCCTGTATCTTCAAACAGGCGAGTCTCGCACATATTTGATTTAATAAGCACATTATTAAATGTTTCTTGTTTCTGAAGGAGACAATCGTTAGGTAGAATCTTTGTTAATCTTCGTAATATTTGTAAACGACAAATAAACAAATAAAATGTTTTATCAGATGTACTAAAATTGAGATATTGAAATTTTATTTTGTTTTCTGTCCTCTAAGGTTTGTTTAATATTACAATATTTGTATTGTTACTTAATACAGTTTTATTTGACTTATGTTTTCAAGTTTAGATATTTTGATATTGGGTATGCTAATTTGGAACTTGATAGCTTGTGAAGATGTGTTTTTCAATAAATTTTCTTTTTATATTTGTTTCATAATTTTTTCACTTAAAAAAAAATTACAGCAAAAATGATTAAAATTTCAATAATTCATTCGCCATTACAAAAAGTTGAAGACACAACTATTAAACCGTATATTTAGCACTTAAAAATATTGAATCTAAAAATGTTAAATAAAGTAATACCGGTAGCAGTAAGCTAATTAAAATGAAAACATCCATATATATAACAACAATATTTAACAAACTATTAATTAGTCTGTACCGGTGAAACATTATGTTTATTATTTTGTGTCAAAATCCGAACTTATCTCTAAAATTGAAATTCCACATTAAACAAAAATACAAACAACATAACTTCAAAATGATAATTTTTGTAATTTATTAGGGATGCTGTACACATTAATTTACATTTACATATTCATATTAAATAAAACAAAAATTAAATAAAATTTTATCTGATAAAGATATACGATACAGAACTTAGAAAATGCCAAGTCAAATTTATAAGCAAACTAAACAGTTCAGATCAGACATGTTTTTCATTTTCATCCTCTGTTTCCATTCCTAAAAAAATAGATTAATAAATCTAAGAAACTAAACTAACAATATATGCACACAAAGAATAAAAAACCTGTAATGAGCACGGTTTTGAATATATATATATATATATATATATATATATATATATATATATATATATATATATATATATATATATATAAATAAATAAATAAATATATATATATATATATATATATATATATATATATATATATTTATTTATTTATTTATATATATATATCTAAAAGAATTTTACATATTTTTATTATTTAAATCCCTATAAAATAAAATTATTAAAACTTAAAACAAAAACGAGATTTCAACTTTTCTCGAGCACTTGTTTTACGATCAGGTATAGACCTAAATACGTTTTAATGGTCAAAGTTCACATAGCTCCAGACTGGTTTCATGTTTAGATCCATTTAATTATTTGGTATTAAGTTTAGGCTGCATTACATTTTTAATGTGACGTTTTAGTTCTGGATGTATTAGTTCAAACTAATTTCAAATTATAAAAGAATAATTCAATTGAATATTTAATATTCAATTAAAATATTCAAGCTGATAAGCTCAAAACGATGTTTAATTACAGTTGTAAGAAGTAATAATTTTAGTATTTCTTTTCCGTAACGGACGGATACAAAAATGATTTAAAATATTATATTATTTAAAACTTACCAAAATCTAAATCTTCCAATTTCGCAAGAATAACAATGGCCAGAATGCAGATGATGAATATGTAAAGAAGGTTTTTTTCCGTGACCGGTGAAGGTAGCGTCAAAACAAAATCTTCAGGATTAAAAGGAAGGGGAACAATATCTAAACCTGTTGGGATTGTAACAACAAATCAAGATTACTGAGTGTTGAATGAATCGAATCCAATGTAAGGAAATAGCATAATAAACACTATTTTTTAAAAAAAATTCACCGTCAACAACTTAAATAACTATCGAAATAGTAATGTAACAAAGCGTTAAGACATGTTTCTGCTTTTATAGCAGTCGAGGCATGAATTTTGATGAAACATAATACAAAAATTGTTTTTTTTTCTGATTGTGCATAACTTGACTTAGTCCGCTTTACTTCTTGTGCGTCATAGGGTCTCAACCATAACCTTCCATTTTGTCCGTTTATTAGTTTTCCTATCTCCCAAGACATCCCTGCTGTCTTTAGTTCTTCGAGAAGACTCCGAATCACATTTGTCATGGGCGCCCTGATTGTGCACGTTTATGCCACACGAGCCGACCCGCGGCGTATCATACGCCGCTATTTAGTTGTTTTTTTTTCTACTTTTCAGTAATTCATAATTTGTGAATTCGACAGAATCAACGCTGCCACTGAAAATATTTCTTTAAAACACTATAAGTAGCTCGTTAAGGACGATAACTCTCCCCCCTTTCCCCCGCCCCCTCCATCCGTTAAAGTAAACTCCACTTAGTTACCCCTCCCCCCCCCCACGTTTAAAATCGTTTTAAACTAAATTATCTGCCCATAACAGTGGTCGCTAAACCCGGCTCTGTTTGTAAACATTTAGAGTGAACCACAGCTCACCAGACCATGTAGGGGTGGGGGTGATAGGGAGCGCGTTTACAGCTTGTTTTCTAGCGTCTCCCAGAAGAGAATTATATATATATATATATATATATATATATATATATATATATATATATATATATATATATATATATATATATATATATATATATAAGATTACTGATGAAATTCCTACAGATGACCTTAATCACATTTAGACAAGAGCTGACCATAGACGTTGTTTTTTTTCATGTCTGTTTATTTGATCGTTCAAGAGTCTAGCCGGTGTTTAGTTCTCCAAACCTTTCAAGAAACGCGCTCGCGCAAGAGGCTGTGTCTAGTTATTTCACAAACTAAAACCACTTCGTTTACAAACCTATTCGTTTATTGGTGGCAAGCTAGGGGGGTCATCCATAAATGACGTCACGCTTTTTTGGACGATTTTTACCTCCCCCTCCCCTCCGTCATACATGTCACAAAATGCCAGATAATCCGCTTAAAATGACGTCACTCCTCAGCCTACACCCCCCCCCTCAGAATTGCAATTGAATTTTACTCAAGACATCGATATTTCCTCAAAAATCTTGTCTAAACTTTGTTAACAGAGTATTTTAATCAATTTATATTACAATTTATTGAAACAGTTTTCTACAACGCGAAATAAAATAACGGCTAACATTAGTTTTCAAACGTTGCTTTTCTATAATGCAAAAGTTTGACGTCACACCATCTAAACCATAAACTCATCACAAACCGTAACAAAATTACGAAACCCCCCCTCTCTCCCCGAATGAGTGTGACGTCATTTATGTACGACCCTTTAGAGAAAAATCTATTCCGTTCCGAAAAAAAAGTAAAACAATTTATGCAGCCTAAAAAGGATTAAATAAAAATCACGTGACTGCTAATTTTACACTTTCAACAATAAAACAACTAGTCTACTTACTTCCATATATTTCTATTTCGCACATTTCAAATATCGGATCCGTTGTTTTTATTTCTATTTTGTGCACATGCGTATTTAAATGAATAAATGAAGGACCCCTTGTGTGAGTTGTAATTCTGCGGAAGTTCATGGTGAAGTTAACATGATTGGTGCAGTTCACTTCAAATGTCGTTGGGGTGGCTGAAAAAAAAATTCATTAAATATAAAGTAAAACGTGGTTCTCTTCTTCTTCTTCGTTCTTAATTTTAGTATTGGAAGGGATCCCCTCCATCACAATTAAGTATACGTGTCAACTGGTTATGCGCCATTGAGGCCATTGACTCCGATTTCCGCCTGCTTTTCTTTTTAGATTTGCTTCCATAGCCTTTGTCAAACCAAGAACAAACTACAAGGCAGCAGTTGTTTGATTTTGGAGTTGTCTCTTCTGGAAGAGTTGTTGTTCCCAGCTAACGAGCCTCATCTGCCAGAGGATTCAAACTCGAGACTTTTCGGTTTAGCAACCACGAGCTTTATCCTAAACATGGTTCTGAATACATAAGATGTTAGTCCGTTTCTCTTATTGGAACCAATAGTAGAAGGTACTTAATTTAACTTTATAACAAATGCTATGTGTAACAGATCAATGCGCATGGTAATTACTAAGAGCAATGCACACATTAATTAATTAGTCTTGGATAATGTTTGAGTTTCAAAACTCAAGTTCTTGATAAGCGTCACAAGGAGCCTGTAACTCGTGTGTATAGGCCCCTGCTTGGCTAGTTCTTAAAACTCACAACTTAAATGATATGCACATGAACTGGTTATATATATATATATATATATATATATATATATATATATATATATATATATATATATATATGCATTAATGACTGAACATTGAGAGTAACCTTAATACAACTTACTGCTAGGATAAATGCCAATTCTGTATAGCTTTTTCATCCCATTAAACTTGACGATAATTCTGTCTGTCAAGTTTGTTGATATGCAGGTGTTGAATCGATCTTCGTCTGTTATTGATTCGATCAACGTGTCGTTTTCGTCAAATCCTGGGATACTTACTATGTCCTCCGATTTATTCAACTGTACTAAATTTACCCCTGTCAAATACATATTTAAACAGAATTTGTCAATTTATCATAATGAACTCGACAGTCGATAAGTCATTTAGTTTCTTCTGCCATACTGGTAAGGGATTTAACAGCTCAGTTCCTTATATTTAACATAACGTTAGCATCAAGAAAACCGGTGAACTCATGAATCAACTAGAGGCTTTATTCTTTTGCGCTTCGCCATTTATAATTCAGCTTTTGTTGTTTGAAAATACGTGACTAGCCAGTTCATTTGAATTGCACACATTGCGATATTGTTTTTATTGAAATTGCTTGGATGTTTACAATCTCAATCGTAAGAGAAAAATCGTTAGAGAAATATCAAGCATATTTACCAACCTCCATCTATGTTAACGGTGCAGACAGAAATGGCTTTCTTCATGTTAATGAACAGTCTTCTCCTGACTAAGGCGGAGGTGAGCTGAAGTTTGAATCGTATTGGTGTAATCGTTTGGACCAATACACGACTATTTACATAATCGTTTTTTTTCCGATCAAAAAAACTAACGACTAAGTCTCCCTCGTGTAAATATTCTGGTATACAAAGAAATTAAATAAATAAATATAGTGTATTTTTTAATTTCCAAGCCATATCTACCAGTATTAAACAGTATATATACAATTATTTAGTTTCAACATAAAATATACCTATTACATTTATGTCGGGATACAGTAAAAAGTAAAGTAAAAGTTTCCCTTTAAAAACCCGACGGTCTATGGGGCAAGTGAAGTAGAGTTCACTTGTTTCTGTGGCCTTGGCATATGAAGAGATAGTGTGGTCAACTTTCCCTAACGTGAATTAGGTACCCATCAGAGCTGAGTGGACTCAGGGATGGTCTACTGACTTGAACCCGGATTCGAACTCGAGACTTACAGGTTAGCAGTCCAGCTTTCTACCGCTAGGCCTCTCGGGATACAGTATTTTAATTAACAAAAAATAAAATAATATCGGAAAAAAAATTAATTACCCTTTCATGAAAACCTCGAAAAGCCATAAAACTGACCAAAGATGACATATATAAAGGTTATGCAACTTAAGCCTATACCGTGTTAGTGTTTAATCTACGACCATTACACGCTAATAACATATTATGCTACTTTCTAATCAAAGAAACTTAGGCTACCACAAAATCGTATTCTTGTAAATGTTTTGGTAGAAATATAAATTATATTCAATAAAAGATAATGTTAATTTTAGCATTTTTGTGTTGTTACAAACGTATCTTTCTTATTAACTTTATATATTTACTAGGCATACTGCCTAGCTTCGCTTAGGTTTTTAAAAAACATTTGAGAATTTGAATATTCAATTATTTAGCGATGGATTGGGTGGGGAGTGCTTTAATTTAAACAGTTATGCTAACTTTAGAAAAAAAAAAATTTTTGTTTGTCATTTAAATTCCGTTCTCAGAGAAATATTGGAAAGTACGCAATGTATAACTAAAATGGAATTAGAACTACACAGGTTCCATGAACAGTATATCTCATAGTTTATATTACATTGCCTTTTGAAATTTATTTGATTATTTAATTAGGATACGTAACTAAATTAACAACTTAATTTTGTACTAAAACAAATGCTATACTTCGTCATTTTCTGTTTCTGTTTAAAATAGTATACAATTATTTGAAAAATAATAATTTTACAAACGTTACCTCCCTTGAAAACTGAACGTATGACGTACGTCTTTGTTTACTTTTTTTTTTACCAACAGTTGCTATGCTTATATAAGAAATTACGGTATATGAACATATTTAACGACTATAATGGCTGTTTCCGATGGGAATACATTTTTTTTGTTACCCTACAGGGTCGGTCTACGACGTCACATAATATTAAGGGGATCGTTCGTCTATTTATATATATATATATATATATATATATATATATATATATATATATATATATATATATATATATATATATATATATATATCATATAAGGAGAATTTCACTCACGGTCATCTTTTAGCCCTCGTCGAGGGCTTTGAGTCTGACCAACAGTTTTTCCATACGGCATAGTCATCTATAGTAGTGTATGCAAAAACTTAGCATGATGTACAGACGTTAAGTAACCTAAAAATTCTGTTAAAATGTCCCTGTTTTTGCCATAAAATACAAAGATTATATAGGGAAATATGACTGGTCAGTTTTGACCCATTTCCCGATTTTTCCAGGACATGGCGAGTTTTTTGTGACACCCCAAGGCCTTCTTCTACCACCTCACAAAATTTCAAGGGGGGTCGTCGGAGGAAAAAAATTTTCATAATAGAGCTCATATAAAGAGAATTTCTCTCGCGGTCACTTTTTAGCCCTCGTCGAGGGCTTTGAGTGAAACCGACAGTTTTCCCTAAAGGTCAAGCCATTCACCTAAGGGTATGCAAAAAATTAGCCAGATATACTGAGTTTAAGTACCCTAAAATCCGCGTTGAAATGACCCTCTGTTTTTCCCATAAAATACAAAGATTATATTGGGAAATACAACTGGTCAGTTTTGACCCATTTCCCGATTTTTCCCGGACATGGCGAGTTTTTGTGACACCCCAAGGCGTTCTCCTAAAACCTCACAAAATATCAAGGGGGGTCGTCGGAGGAAATTTTTTTTCGTAATATAGCCCATATAAGGCGCCGGTCAGTCTAGGTCAGTTTTGACCCCCTCTCCGTAGACTTTTCGGCAAACCATCACCGGCCCTCGTGTTCTATCGCCCGAAGGCACAATCGTGCCAAATTTGACGCGCCTGCGGCGCCTGTAAGTGCTCTATCGGGCACTTGACCACTTTGCTTTATATATATAGATTAACAAATTTTACAAATTATCTAAAGTAGTTTTTTTTTAATTAAGTAAGATGTAGTTATATAGCATTATAGTATTACCTGGCTCTTCAAAAACAAGACTAAACGATGTCAGGAAAAAATTCTCGAATAATTCTATGTAAATTGTGTTGTTATCAGGTACTCGACAGGATGTTGAATCTCCGTCAAAAAACTCTTGGGGTTCAACTTTATAAACAAAAGCAGCTAAATCCTCTGTTGTGAAATCAAACAAATTACAAAAAAAAAAAAAAAAATAAAATAAAAAAAAAATAAAATAAAAAAAATAATGGGCTAATAACGTGAATTAAAAAAAAAAACGAACGATAATATATGTGATGACAGTACATGTAAGATAACAGAAGAGTGCGCATTGGCACACATACAGAGCTTCGATTAATTGAGAAAAAATATACATGCCAATCGTTTCAAATCTACCAGCTACCCTCTCTCTTTATATATATATATATATATATATATATATATATATATATATATATATATATATATATATATTAAATTTATGTTTAATTATTTCATTTTTTGAGTTCTTATATATTTTTCTTTTGTTATAGCACTGGTCGCTAAAATGTTTGATTTCATGACATTTCAGTACGTTTAAATCTTTTTATAATAATGGCTGTTTTATTTGCTTTATTTTCTGCTATTTAGTAGTATTGAATTTAAATATTAAAAGTATAAGCAGATTACTCTTAAAATAAAATAAATAAATAACTAAAAATTTCTCTCTAAGCCCCAACCAGTAGCTGGCGGTCTTAGTTCTAAACCACAGTTATGTTCTCACGATGAACGTTTGTGAACTTCGCTCAGTTGTGAAAACACCAGTGACGTAGCCTAACGAGCTATCACTAGCAAAGAATCCGGTCATATCCTTATGTGTTATTGAATGTCGTAATTTTACTTTTAATTTTTAATGTTTTATCTAAAATCTAATTAGAAATATTACATATAACTCATAGCGTTGCCTGCGTAAATATATTTATGGTTATTGAAAGGAAAAGAGATAGCTGCATCAAAATTATGCCGTCATCGAGTTTAAACAAACAAAAACAAAAAAAATCGGACTTAAGGGCAGAAGAAAAAGCAGACAAAAGAACCGACCTAAACTTACTACACAGCTCGGCATTGTAAAATATTTCTAAGCTATCAAATGAATTAATTAAATTAAATCAGTATCCAATTAATTAGAGATAAACAAATGTTTTTTTTTTTTTAAATTTAAACACTGCATAAACTAAAATGAAGATTACAGTATTTATTTGTGAGAAACTATTTCAAATTAGCTGTTTCATTTATGTTACGCGAACTGAACAATTCACAAAAAAATCTGTACAATTTTTTTAAAAAAGCATTTATTGTATAAATTTATTTTGTATTGAATACCGTATACATTTTCTATGAAAGAGTTAAAATAAGAGAAGAAAATTGACATTCGGTAGCGTCCTAGATCTGGTAACATGTGTAACGGGAATTTAAGAAAAAAAAAGTAGGATATACACTTTTTAAAACTGAAATCTTTTTAGTCAGCAAATACTGTAGGTAAAACTCTCACCTGTTCTACAATCCTCACCAAACCAGCCTTTCTGACAATCAGCTTCATAACACACACCACGGAGCTTGGTGCAAAAAGGCCTCGAACAGTTACAAGGGATATCACATTTCTCTCCGTAGAACCCAGACAAACACTCTGTTGTACAGGCAGAAAATGTACTGGCAGAAGAGGCGTAGCGGGGGGGGGGGGGGGGGCGGGGGTGCGGACCGCACCGGGTGACACCATTTAGGGGGGGGGGGGGGGTGACACCAAGGTAAAAAATAGCTAAATATAAAGAGAAAAACTTGAGGGGGGGGGGGTGCAAATCGAAAACTTGAGAGGGGGGGTGCAAATCGAAAGTTTGAGGGGGGGGGGAGTGCAAATTGAAAACTTGAAGGGGGTGGAAATCGAAAGTTTGAGGGGGGGGGGGGGTGCAAATCGAAAGTTTGAGGGGGGGGGGGTGCAAATTGAAAACTTGAGGGGGGGGGGTGCAAATCGAAAGTTTGAGGGGGGGGGGGGGGTGCAAATCGAAAACTTGAGGGGGGGGGGGTGCAAATCTAAAATTTGAAAGTTTGTCTCCGGGAAGGGTCGCTACACGTATGGGGGGTGACACCATTAAGTGCCGCACCGGGTAACACCCGACCTCGCTACGCCACTGACTGGCAGTGTCAGTCTGTTTGTGGTTGAGGGAATATTTTATTTTGGATAAACTAGAATCTAGATTCTAGAGCTTAGCTTTGTTTGAGAAAAAGACCAAATATAAAATTATCTTTTAAAAATAAATATTAAAACGTCAATGCATTTTTATTTTATTTTTCAAATTCAGGCCTTAAACATTTCATATAAATCTTTGCTTTATTTGTATAGGAATATGTTTATTTAGGTTATAATTTCATTTAGATTAATACCTGGCGTAGTTTTGCTGTATAGTGAATAAATGTTTCCGTTGTTATTATTTTGTTTTCAGCATTAACAATTTATTCATTTGTTATTCATATTAGCTCATATAATATTATAACAAGACATAGATTTTGTTAAAAGACAAAAACATGTAAGCTGAGGTGTGTCTTATGTTAAATGTGTGCAGTAATTTTGCCATTCGGACCTGGCGGGCCATAAGACAGGAAAGTAGGGGCCATCTGCATTTGATATCTCAGCATATAAAAAATAGTTTGCTCAGTTCAACCAAAATCTGTATTCTTATAAAAAACAACGTGACTTCGGTGTGACGTCTTTTTAAATGAGCTGTCTTGCTTTTTGTGACGATGTGTGACAATGGGCAGGGTTAGGAAGAAGATAGAAAAAGAAAAAACAAGCGTACGTCATTTATGGATGGCACCTATAATCAGTTATCCAAAGTTAAATGAGTGGTTTAGTATATGTATTGATTGTATATATTGTGTATATATACATGAATAGGCTTTTTAAAATTGGGTACTAACCAAATGTTATTGAATAATTTAAAGTTGTCATTTCTAAATTGCCCCACTCATCCACTTCTGCGTCTTCTACATCTACGTATCCTTCCTTCAATCTCAGTTCTTTTATAAAAGTCTGAAAAAATTTAAAACTTTTAAAGTTTATATTTCAGCTTAATAAAAATAAAGCAAGTAAAGTAAATAAAGCAAATAAAGTAAATAAAGTAATTAAAATAAAAAAAAATAAAAAATATAAAAATATAAAGTAGATATGAGAAAAAATATAAAATAAATAAAGTAGATATATAATAAAAAAATAAATAAATAAATAAATAAAAAAAAAAAAAATAAATATATAAATAAATATATAAATAAATAAATAAATAAATAAATAAATAAATAAATAAATAAATAAATAAATAAATAAATAAATAAATAAATAAATAAATAAATAAATAAATAAATAAATAAATAAATAAATAAATAAATAAATAAATAAATAAATAAATAAATAAATAAATAAATAAATAAATAAATAAATAAATAAATAAATAAATAAATAAATAAATAAATAAATAAATAAATAAATAAATAAATAAATAAATAAATAAATAAATAAATAAACAAATAAATAAACAAATAAATAAATAAAAATAAATAAAATGAATAAAATGAATAAAATGAATAAAATGAATAAAATAAATAAAATAAATAAAATAAATGAAATAAATGAAATAAATGAAATAAATGAAATAAATGAAATAAATAAAATAAATGAAATAAATGAAATAAATGAAATAAATGAAATTAATGAAATAAATGAAATAAATGAAATAAAATAAATAAATAAAATAAATAAAATAAATAAAATAAATAAAATAAATAAAATAAATAAAACAAATAAAACAAATAAAACAAATAAAACAAATAAAACAAATAAAACAAATAAAATAAATAAAATAAATAAAATAAATAAAAATAAATAAAATAAATAAAATAAATAAAATAAATAAAATAAATAAAATAAATGAAATAAATGAAATAAATGAAATAAATGAAATAAATGAATTAAATGAAATAAATGAAATAAATGAAATAAATGAAATAAATGAAATAAATGAAATAAATGAAATAAATGAAATAAATAAAATAAATAAAATAAATAAAATAAATAAAATAAATAAAATAAATAAAATAAATAAAATAAATAAAATAAATAAAATAAATAAAATAAATAAAATAAATAAAATAAATAAAATAAATAAAATAAATAAAATAAATAAAATAAATAAAATAAATAAAATAAATAAAATAAATAAAATAAATAAAATAAATAAAATAAATAAAAAAATAAATAAATAAAATAAATAAAATGATTAAAAGAATAAAATGAATAAATTGAATAAAATAAATACATAAAATAAATAAATAAAATAAAGCAAAATAAAATAAAATAAATTAAAATAAAATAAAATTAGACAGAATACAGAGAAATAGGTATTTTACTTATTATGAAATTTCATCTATCATAAACAGTATTTAAGTTATAGGCTTTGAAAAACCAAAAGTAGACTAGGTTCTTATTCCTGGTACCGGAAATTGCTGAAACATTAATTCAAAACTACAAACTCGATGTAATACTTATATATGAAATTTCAGCAACCTAGCTGTAACGGTACTCAAGTTATCGTGACCACACATACACACACAGAGACACACTGACAGTCACACACACACACACAGACAAGATTGCAAAATTGAAATTAAAATTTTCCGACTTAGGGAGGTCTAAAACGTCGAGATATGCACAATTACTCTATACTCTGTATTCGAGAAAGAAAAAAAAACAAATTAAAAAATGAATTAACTGAATTTAAAAAAAAAGTAAATAAATTAAATGAATTACATTATTAATACTAATAGTTTCGCTGTCTGTGTATCTATCTATCTATGTATCTATCTGACAAGAACGCTCTAGAGAAAACATAAGCAATTTAAAAACTTACACAGTGAAACGAAAACGAAATATGACGTCATATAGTAGAAAATAATATCAAGCCGGAGAGTGCACACAGTAATATGACGTCATTGATTCTCGAGTAAACATTGAATAAAAAGGAAATTTTGTCTAATCTAAGTGGTTTGCGTGAAGAGTTTCTTTCATACAATTCTTCGGGTAGGGGCGAAGCCCCACCCCGGCGTAAGAACGTCTGAGCCCCCCCCCCCCCCCCCCCCTCCCAAACTCAAAAGAAATTTCTTCATCGATACTCTATAATAAAATTACCGCCTAATTAATGTGTCTAATATAAAAAGTGGTTTTCTTGCAATTTCTTTAATGCAATTCTTCGGGTAGTGGCTAAGCGCGACACCGGTGTTTCTTTCAGACTTTTTCCTCCCTGGAGGGGGAACTTTTTCTAATCTAAAAAGCGTTTAGCGTGCAGTTTTTTTTTCAAGCATCTCTTCCGGTAGGGGCGAAGCCCCGCCCAGATTCTTCCTTTAGTTTGTATGATCTACAAATGCGACCAGCGTTTCTTTCAGACTTTTTCCTCCCCGGAGAGGGGTGGGGTACTTGAAATTTTCGGGGGCGGGGGTAGAATTTTCTGGGAGGGGGCATCACTGGAAAAAGTATATAATTATATTTCGTTGAATGGGACGGTAGACATGTTTTGGAGTGTGTGTATGTTGGGGGGGGGGGGGCGAAGCCCCCTCCTCCCAAGTAGAGTTGCCTGAAAGAAACTCTAAATGCGACTTTTGTCGCATGGTTTAGGGACTATATTTTGTATAAATTAAAGTACCGAGAAAATAGACAGCACTATCAACCTAGCGCCCGTTGTATCCTTCCTCAACGGGCCATTTTTCTCGTTAATAAATATTATCACATCAATAAATACATACAATTGAAAACATAAGCAAAATGGAAAAAAAATTAATAAAATAAATAAATGATTTTCGTTTTTACCTTAAAAATGTCAGGTGTTGACCTAGCATTCTGAATATAATGCAATTTCGTTTCAGTTTCCCGGGAGCTCCCGTACACGTAGCATCCAAATTTGTGTTGTTCGGTCACGTAGCTCGTATTCTTTTCAACCAGATTCGAGATGCCATACGCCATCCCGTCCGAAACCTCGTGTTTAACAAGCCAGGTCCTAACGTTTGTATATATACACACAAATACACGAACACACACCCATATGTATGTATATGTATTAATATTTACACACAAGCACACACAAGGGACGGCCAATGAAAACATGGAAAAGAACGGTTGAAGAAGAGGCGAAAACAGCTGGCTCACATGAGCACAGATGAAGGGAGCAGCCCAAAACCGGTGGAAATGTGTGGTTGCAGTCATTTGCTCCCCAGGGGCCACAAAGGAATGATGATGATGACACACACACTTATATATACCACATATATATATATATATATATATATATATATATATATATATATATATATATATATATATATATATATATATATATACAGAGAGAGAGAGTGAGAGAGAGAGAGAGAGAGAGAGAGAGAGAGAGAGAGAGAGAGAGAGAGAGAGAGAGAGAGAAAGAAAGAGAGAAAGGAGTCTATTAAAAATATAGTTCAATTTTACTTTTACCATATTTATATATTATTGAATATTAGGTCGTTTTTATAAAATTTTAATGCACGTTTCTAAAATATAAAAAAAAAATTCTCTTTATAAAGATAAGTGTATATATTTAAATATCAACTTACGTGACTGTCTTCCCGTCAATACGAATAAATTCTAAGTATTTCGAATGAATAATTATACGATAGTCAAATACTACATCATGGACATTTGGTGTGCTGTAAAAGTTTAAAATAAAATGATTAATAAGACACAAAGAATTTAAGTCAGTTTATGTTTTTTAAGAGATTGTGACTATTCATATGGCATAAATTTAAGTCAGATTATTGATATACTGAATCATAACGAAAAATCGACATTTAATTCTGGTAATTAAATTGTGATATTGTAGAACATTATTGGATGCATGCAATATCATTGTGTGTAACAAAAAAAAAATAGAGAAAGGTTCAGAAATCAAATAACAAGATGTATAGAAATATGAATTGATAACAGCTGACAGTGATGAAAACGCCTCTGTTGTCTTATTTTGATTATATCTTAAAACATTATAAATAAAATCGTACACTATGAAGTAGACATTAGTTTTAAAACATTATAAAAATATCTTTGTTCTATGAAGTGGACATTAGTTTTAAAACTAAATAAATAAAATCTTGCACTATAAAGTAGACATTAGTTTTAAAACATTATAAATAAAATCTTACATTATGAAGTAGACATTAGTTTTATAACATTATAAATAAAATCTTACATTATGAAGTAGACATTAGTTTTATAACATTATAAATAAAATCTTACATTATGAAGTAGACATTGGTTTTTAACATTATAAATAAAATCTTATATTATGAAGCAGACATTAGTTTTATAACATTATAAATAAAATCTTACATTATGAAGTAGACATTAGTTTTATAACATTATAAATAAATCTTACATTATGAAGTAGACATTAGTTTTATAACATTATAAATAAAATCTTACATTATGAAGGAGACATTAGTTTTATAACATTATAAATAAAATCTTACATTATGAAGTAGACATTAGTTTTATAACATAAATAAAATCTTACATTATGAAGTAGACATTAGTCCATGCTCGGATTGGCATTATCGAGGTCAGCGTTTGACTGGGCCCGGTCACACTGACCACATAGGCTGGTTTTTTGCTGATTAGTTTACCAAAATTTCTATACGAATCGTTGAACTAGATATAAAAATAATAACCAGAGGTTAACGGATATAATACAAGCTTTATTTATGCAATAGGCCAGCTTTATTTATGCAATAGGCCTATTTTGTAATAAAATGAAATGATTTATGGAAATATATTATGAGTCCCCTTTCAAAACCTTCTAAGTCATTTTTTGGTTGATTTCGAAGAAATTGACTTTTAAGTTCTTTTTTGGTTAACTATTCTTAGGGACTTTTTGATATTTTACTATTATATAATTTATTTTAATGTATTACCTTTTTGAACAAAAATTAGTATGCTACTTTAATTGCCACTTAATTGCGAAGGTTTTAGGAGTAACTTATTTTCTTCAAAAAGTGTACTTAGAAGGTTTTGCAAGCAAGTATAGTACTTTACGGTCAGGAGCCCCAAGTCCCACCAGTGAACGGAACCTAAATGGTAAAGTAGTCGCGGGGCGGGAGGGGAGAGGGCTGGTGGGGTGGGACACTTGAATTATTTGTCATTCTATCACGTTTTTCTATGACACGAGCTCCCCAAAGGTAACTATGACGCCTACATTTGATTTAAAAATCTGCCTTCATAAGTCATTTGGTGGGGTACCATAGGCAATGAATTAACCAAACCAAAGACGCAGAGGCGTAGCGAGGGAGGGGGCGAGGGGGGGGGGGGGACATATGTCCCTGGTGCGCCGACCTTAGGGGGCGCCAAAAATGGGTTGGAAAAATAAATTGAAAGGTTCAGGGAGGGGGTGCAAATCGAAAGTTTGAGGGGAGTGCAATATCAAAATCTTGTGTGTGGGGGGGGGGGAGAGGTGCACATCGAAAGTTTGAGGGGGGGTACAAATCCAAAATCTTGAGGGGATGGGGTGCAAATCGAAAGTTTGTCCCCGGCGCCGGGAAGGGTCGCTACGCCTCTGCAAAAGACGTTCACCAACGCCCCTATAGATTTATAATTTGAGCGCTCCAGTTACATCAGTGGCTATTTTACTACTTGGGGTCCGTTGATCGGGCATCCATCATAATAGGTTAGGGTTAATACTTTAAATTATCATTCAAATTACACCACGTGCGGCATCCCAGAGGCGTAGCCTACGTTATGGTGGATGGGGCGGGCTCCCGGCGCGCCAACTTTAGAGGGGCTTTAAACGGGATAGAAAAAAAAGTTATAAAGCTCATTCCGAGATGCATTACTGAATTATACACTGTCAAAATTTTAAAAAAAAGTCTGCTACAAAGCTTTACAGACTTATTAACTGTGTTCTTTATTATTTGTGTGACACACAAACAAACAAGTTAATTAAAAAAGTCTAGTGACATTTATGCGCAATTTCCTTATGTTATCTAAAAATAGTTCTGACGTATAATGCTGAGGGTGCGTTTCAAGCTAGAAGAACGCTCGGTTTGTAGGTGTTTATGTAATTTTAAAATTTGTGCCCGAACGAGAGGATATTTGTGAAAACTTTCTTCCGCAAATATTGTTCTAAATTATGGCAGAAATCGATTGGTACATGTTTCAAGTCGCTAAGTGGTCTGGTTGTCGAGATATGGGCAAAAAACTGCTTTTTTTGAGGTTTTTTGGCTTTTCCGGGAAATACATGAAAGAAACCCGGAATTTTTATGGCCTATGCTCATCCTCGTAACTTGCTTAACATAATTGCTTTTGCAACTAGTCATCGATATTGCCTTCGTTGAGGAGGAGGATACGACTTAAAGCTGCGGACACACATCCATCCCATCCATTCATTCATACATCCAGAAATGACGGGTTAATAAACGCAATTCTCCAGAATGGAAATTGCGCTAAAAATGTACAGGATAGTAGTAACTGTTAAAAAGCGTGGAGTGGGGGGGGGTCGCTATTTCGGCAACTTGGATCACTTTTTTTGAAGAAGGGAGTGGGGCGAAAAATGGATAATTCGCCCTGGGTGTCAGAATAGGTCGCTACACTTCTGGCGGCATTCAGCGCCCATTGGAGGATATACGGTATGGTGCCCTGAGTTACCCCGGCGGCTATCTTTCCACCCGGGGCTCGTTCATTAGGATCTCACACGCCGAGGGTTGGGAGTACTAATTGAATAATTTATTAAACTGCACAAAGAGCGTCCGCCGGGCGCATTTAGTTTTCTTTCACACGACCCAGACCGTCCTATGCCCCCTGTGATCACTAAAGCACCTACATTCGCTTCAAAGTGCGCCATACACAAGGAATCGTTGAAATACAAAATTCAATGACTTAATTGATGCCCCTGTAGAAATATAACCGGTGGCTCCCAAGAGCGACCACGAAACCCCTAACGCGCTGGCGATCTCCCGATGTGTGATCTACCTCACCATTTCTAAGTAAGATAACCGTTCACCTCGGGTTTTCTTATAACACACTCTTTAAGCGCCTGGGTTGACGCGCTGACGGTCTCCGATGTGTGATATACCTACCTCACCATTTCTAAGTAAGATAACCGTATACTCGGGGTTTTTCTTATAACACCCCCTTTGACGTCTGGGTTGTAGTGCTGACATACCCCAGTTAAGATCATATAAATATTGCTCCGCAATGTTTACATTTTAGAACTGTTTGTTCTAAGTAATAGCCCTCACGTCTATATATACACGATTAGAAACGCCTTGATCAAACCTCATTAAATATTTCATCCAATTTGTAGCTCGGCTACTACTTATATAGAAATTAGGACGATAAAATAGGTAAACAAACTAATTTTTTCTAGACATTTCAATTTCTTTTCATGTAATATGAATGGTTTTTGTTATATAATGCGACGAAAACCACGTATTTTACGCACTCTTATTTGAAGACTGCTTGAACTCCTCATGAAAAGTCATTTTCAGCGAAGGCAGGTAAACCGTTGTGTTAGCTTGTGTTGTTTGTTATAAGGAACTCAGTTGTATTATCGTACATATCGTATTTTAAATAGTACCAAAGCAATCCATTAAACATCGGAGAAAGCTGTTCTGTCAAATAGAATAGCCACAATTATATATATATATATATATATATATATATATATATATGATTCCATGACAAATGATCTCAGGACAAATGATCTCAGACAAAATATCTCCACGAACAAATGATCTCAGACAAATGATTTCAGGTAAATGATCTCACGAACAAAAGATATCACGGACAAAATACACCAGGACAAAATATATCAGGACAAATGATATCATGGACAAATGATCTCAGACAAAATATCTCACAGCAAAATTTTGATAGTGTATTGGATGATATTAGTTTATCTGTACATTTTGTATTGTCTGTCATACAGTATACTTTACTAAATTTAATATTGTTTATAGGCCTATATAATAATTTTAAAGAATTTTTGCCGCATAAATTTGTCATATTTCACAGAATAATTTAAAATTAAGATTTCTAATAAAATATGTAAAGATTAAATACATTTTTCGATAGACAAGCGTAGACCAAGAGAAAAGAAGACAGTCATTTTTAGTTTACACCATTTAATGAATGATTTCTAATCTACCTGATCCAAACGCCACGGTTTTCGATTCTACAGATCCCATCAGCATGACCAGAAAAGGTTTTGTTGCATGTATGTGCACTCCTGAGTATAGACAAAATAAATTCAATTGTTCATACTTATTTTCTTATAAAGTAGATAAGGTTAATTTGAATATCCTCGGATTAACACGGTGTAGCCTGTCTGATTATTTTATACTCATATCTATAAACATTATTGTTGGTGGACATATGGTGAAAAAAAATTGATTCGTATAATTTAACTCGGACACATTTCGCTAAAGCAGACTATTGCACAACACAAACACAATCTTCTCCGCATCAAACTACATTACAATTCACACTCACGCAAACACATGTATCACAAACACCACAGAAGAAAGAACGAATTTTTGTGTGGGCCCACATGTATTCGCTAGTAAGTCATTATTGTTTACAACTAAAATTAAGTTCATTCATAATTTTTAAATAAAACACTATACCTAATGAGGGAGATTTGTATGAAGAAAAAAAAATATGAAAGTAAATAAAAAGAGGTGGGGAGAGAGAAAATAGATAAAATAAAACAAGACAAAAAAAGAAAGAAAAACTGAATGAAAGAATACAGCAAATAAATGTATGAATGAATGAATGAACGAACGAACGAACGAACGAACGAACGAACGAACGAACGAACGAACGAACGAACGAACGAACGAACGAACGAACGAACGAACGAACGAACGAACGAACGAACGAACGAACGAACGAACGAACGAACGAACGAACGAACGAACGAACGAACGAACGAACGAACGAACGAACGAACGAACGAACGAACGAACGAACGAACGAACGAACGAACGAACGAACGAACGAACGAACGAACGAACGAACGAACGAACGAACGAACGAACGAACGAACGAACGAACGAACGAACGAACGAACGAACGAACGAACGAACGAACGAACGAACGAACGAACGAACGAACGAACGAACGAACGAACGAACGAACGAACGAACGAACGAACGAGCGAACGAACGAACGAACGAACGAACGAACGAACGAACGAACGAACGAACGAATGAATGAATGAATGAATGAATGAATGAATGAATGAATGAATGAATGAATGAATGAATGAATGAATGAATGAATGAATGAATGAAAAACAGAAAGATGGAAAGAAAGTAAAAATGAATCAATTTAAAAAAAACATAAAGCTAGAAAGAAAGATTTAATTAAAGAAAGAAAGAATGAAAGAAAGAAAGAAAGAAAGACAAAAAAAAAGTAAGAAAAAGCAAAATAATTTTACATAAATTTAACCTCTTTTTTTTTTGAGAAGTGTAACATCAAAATATATTAAGCTTAAGCTCAATATATTTCTATTGTTATTAAATTACCTCCTGAAAGCGAACTCCTCTGGTTTTCTGGTTTTACTGAAATTAGCTTTGGGTGCATTCTAAAACAACGGTAAATGTATATGTATATGTATATGTATATGTATATGTA